GGAGGAATGATTATGCCTTCGAAGAGAAAGGAAAGGAAATGAGAGAAATAGGAGAGAGAGAGAGAGAGAGAGAGACAGACATACAGACAGACAGACCGACAGACAGACAGAGAGAGAGAGAGAGAGAGTGAGAGAGAGAGAGAGAGAGAGTGAGTGAGAAACGGACAGACACACACACACACACACACAGAGAGAGAGAGAGAGAGAGTGAGTGAGAAACGGACAGACACACACACACACACACACACACACAGAGAGAGAGAGAGAGAGAGAAATAGGAGAGAGAGAGAGGGAGAGAGAGAGAGAGAGAGAGGGAGAGAGAGAGAGAGAGAGAGAAATAGGAGAGAGAGAGAGAGAGAGACAGACAGACAGACAGACAGAGAATGAAAGAGAGAGAGAAAGAAAAAGGAGGGAGATTTTGAATCATGGTTAGATTATCAGAATCATTATCATTGTTATCTTCATCACCATTATTGCCAACATAATCATGATCACTATCACTGTTCTTCATTTTTTCATGTTCTTGTCATTTTCAGTAACACAAAAAGTAATAGCAATACTGATAATAGTAATGAAGATGGCACTTTTAAAATTGCATTACAATGATAATAATGATGATTATAATGATAGAAAATAACATTGGTAATAATAATTATCATATTGTTGATACGAATTGTAGTATTAGTGATAATCATAACAATGATAATAATTATAATGACAGTGATAAAGATTATGATAGTAATATTGATATTACTGATAATGATATTATGATAAGAATGATAACAATAATGATGATAATAGTAGTGATAATGATAGTGGTAGTAACAGGAGTAGCAATAATGATGATAATGATAATAATGATGATACTGATAACAATAACAATAACATAAATGAAAATAATGATAGTGTTAATAATTATGTTGATAATGATGATGATAATGATGATATTGATAACAATAACAATAACGATAATGAAAATAATGATAGTGTTAATAATTATGTTGATAATGACGAAAATGATTATGATGATATTGATAATAGCAATAGTGATGATAATAACAACAATAGTAGTTACAATCATAATGATAATCAAAATGATATTATTAAAGATAATAATGGTCATGAGGATGATAATGATATGGATGATAGCAAGAATGCTATTGATAATAATAATAATTACAATAGTAATGATTGCTATTATTATTATTGTTGTTTTTATCATTATAATCATTGTCCTTTCCATTATTGTTGATCTTATCATTACCACAAACATTATTGTTATAGTTATTTCTGTTATTATTGTCATTATCATTTATATTCAAAGGATTTCATGATTAGATATTGACTATATATGTGTGCATTGACTATATGTATCCGCATATAGACCTGCTATATATACGGATCTAGAGTGGTAGTAGCCACCCCGTAGGTACTAATATACACCATAGAAAATGGGTGATATTTACTCAAATTTTTGTGGTAGACTTATGTATATGTCTCTAATATATATTTTTTTCATTATCATGATTAGCATTAACAGTATCATTACTATCATAATTGTTCGTCATGATTATGATCATCAGAATGACCTTGCGTTGTTGTTATCATTATTACAAGCAGTATCATTATCATTATTACAAGCAGTATCATTATCATTATAACTATCCTTATCATTAACATTGTCATTATCACTCTTATTCTTTAACATTCGCTTTATTGTTGTTCTTACTGTTATTCTTATCATGCCTATCTTCTTCATATTGTTATCATTTCTACTATCATTATTTTCNATGTGATTTGACCTGATCTGACGTGATCTTATGATTGATGTCTGACTGTCTGATGTGACCTGACGTGATCTGATGTGATTTGACCTGATCTGACGTGATCTGATGTGATTTGACCTGATTTGACCTGATCTGACGTGATCTGATGTGATTTGACCTGATCTGACGTGATCTGATGTGATTTGACCTGATCTGACGTGATTGATCTGACTTGTCTGATGTGACCTGACTTGTCTGATATTATCTGACCTGATCTGATGTGATTTGCTTATTGACCTGATCTGACGTGGTTTGATGGTTATTTGAACCTGATCTGACGTGATCTGATGTGACCTGACTCGTCTGATGTGATGTGATATGATCTGATGTGACGTGATTTGATGTGATTTGATTTGATTTGATCTGATGTGTTCTGGTGTGATATGATGTGCTCTGATGTGAGGTGATTTGACTGATGTGACGTGATCTGATTGATTTGACCTGATCTGATGTGACCTGAATATGACCTGATTGACCTGTTCTGAATTGATGTGATCTTATGTGATGTGATCTGACCTGATTTGACCTGATCTGACGTGATATGATGTGATTTGACCTGATCTGACTCGTCTGATGTGACCTAACTCGTCTTATGTGATGTGATTGTGTGATGTGATCTGATCTGACGTGATCTGATCTGACGTGATCTGATCTGACTTGTCTGATGTGACCTG